CCTAAAGTGAGTCACCCTCTCTTTGCCCCAGAGTGCTGCAAACTGGACTCGTTTCACAGCTGCTGTTTCAAGAGCTGAATCTCAAGTTGCTTCTGAACAGGCACACACAGGTATTTTACAAGAGTGAGGAGAAAACTTTTCCATTTCTTCTGCTCTGCCATTAAGGGTTAATCCATTAATGCAGTCAGTGCTCCAGTTTTGCAAAGGCATTGACAAAAATGGACATGGACAAGGCTTCGTGTATTCTGCATAATGGAGAGCCAAGCTGTAGGAAAACTCCTTACCTCGTCAGCTGGTTCAGCTAATAAGGGCTGAGCTGCTCAGTCTGGAGGAGCAAAATGTCCCCAGAGAAACCTCTGTGCTCTGGGCAGGCAGAGGCACTTCTGAGAGAAAGGCAATGGGATTGAATGAAAGGTTTAGTTTATAAGGAAGAAAAGCTTGTATACTCACAGAGAGCTTCATCCTGACTGCAGAGCTGATGCTCCTGCAGGTAGAAAGAGTGATGTGAACCTCCCACCTTATATATGTTTTCTGAATTCACGGTGGAAGGGCTGAGTGTTGCAATAAAATTATTTTGTCATTTGTTTCCCTGTCACTTGTCACTGAAAATTATTTCCTGCTGTAACGACTTGATAAACATGGGGACTGTACTTTTGCACATTTTGACCTGCTGGAGTCTCATAATTATCAGATAGGAATCCATTTGCAGTGAAAAATTAAATAAGTTTATAGTATTTTTCTGTCATGTACTAATTACTTTTGAAAATTCACTTTAAACTTAAGACCGGAGATATCCTGGGGTTTAAACAAGGACATAAAAAGATTTGCATTAGACAGAATGAGTAAAAGTCCTTGCACCTTCCAAAATGTACTGTGTGTTATCAGGTAACCATAGCACCCACTAAAATACAGCGGTGGGGGCTGGGACATCCGTGCCTCAGTGGACTTGGCAGAGCAGCCCTGGCACATTTATGCCTTTCCAGCTTTACTAATTTACAGCTGTTATGATATATTTTTCCGCATAAGTGCATGAAAGTAGAGCAGTTTTGTGAACAGTGGGGCCCTGCTGCCATGTTGTGCTCTCCTGTTGGAATTCTGGCTTTAAGTGAGATCCT